GGTATATTTGTCCTTTTTCCCAAAAAAATTAGGGGGTAGTGGAAGGGGAAACTGAAGGAGATTACAATGTAGAGAATTGAACTTTCACCAATAAGGTGGAAGTTCAGGTAGCCAACAAACTGAGCTAGTAATATTCCCCGGCTATGTCTTATGTTGATCTTCAAATGCAAATGTTAATATGAGTGAAATCACTGTGAATAAAAACTGTTTCTAAATCGCCATAGCTAACATAAATGGTTGATAATATCGCTAATTTGTTGCCTAAAAAAATTATTTGCAACAATTTTCATTGTTTAACTATAAAATTTGTAGTAATTCCTCCTCCTCCTTTTTTTAAAGTTGTGTATTGACAAATAACAATATATTTAAGATCAGAGGGAAATATCAAATATATTAGTCGCAAATTAGAGGAGCTAGGAGGGACAAAATATATCTATTATAACACCTCGTTCGAATCCATCGATCGTACAATAAATCAATGATAGATTATAGATCACTTGATCAATCATAATAATTATTATAATGTTTTCTATTATCTAATTTATCCTGTCATAATTTGTAATTATCACGATTTCTTCATGACGTGCTATTATTATGGTCACAGAAAATACTTTCTAACACTATTGACTTTGCACACTTCTTAAGTAACTATAAATAGAAGGATAATTTTACTATATCACCCTTTGAATATAGTAATAAATATTATGTCTTGAAAAATGTATTAGGAAAATGACTATAATTAATGATAAAAGTAAATTAGAATCTAAGTGTGAAATTATTTATTGATTTCATAAAGTGGACAAATATTATTGGATATACTAAAATAATATAGTGGACAACTATTTTTGGACGGAGCGATTAGCAGGTGAATTGTTAATTTGGCATTGCCGACATATTCCTCGATGGATTTTAATAGAGTTGTGATGGAAAGCACATTAATTGGTAAGGGGGGGCTGAGTACTTGCAAGAGAGACCATACTCTTATTAGAGACTCCCAATGAAGAAGGGAAGAAGCATTCATTTTCACTCATTCTTATAACAAAATTTAAAGTTTCCCCTACACGTGTATTTCTTACCTTGGTCTCCGTCCTACTCCCTCCGTTTTATAATACTTAATTTATATTGATCTGAAACACCTTTTAATAAAATTTTACTTCGTCTATGTTAATTTGAAATATCTTAATTAAAATTACTTAGTTTATATTAATCTGAAACACCTTTTAAAGAAATTTTAATTAAGGTGTATTTAACGAAGTTAAATTTATATATTTTTAAACTCTAAATTTAGCTACTACTATCATATATATAGTTATTCAATACAAAAAGTAGTGTGAGAAAAAAGTAATAAATCTCTCTTAATTTATTAAAATAGACAAAAAAAATAATTTATCTATTTATGTTTTGATAAAGGGGACAAGTTAAATGAATTTGAGAGAGTACTACCTCCATCTATTTTAACTTATTCACCGTATCAAAAATTGATGTCCATTTGTATCAATGCTTCTCTAGACTAAGATATTAGTATATTACTACTCCTCGAAATCATTTATTACTCCCGTACGTCGAAATTTTAGTTGTACAATTCCTTTGTTTTGTGTGTTGTTGCTCCATCTTTTTATTTTTACTCGTCAACTACGTATTTTCTAACATATTACTCCCTCCGTCTCATTTTATGTGAGGTAGTTTGACTCAGCATAAAATTAAGAAATAAATGAAGGCTTTTAAAAATTTGCAGTCCAAAATGAATGATAGAAATTTGTGTGGTTGTAAATCATTTCACTAAGGGTAAAATAGATGTTTTTATAGTTAAATTGTTACTTAATATATGAATGTGTCATTCCTTTTGGAACTAACTAAAAAGGAAAGTAGGTCACATAAATTGAACAGAGAAAGTAATAATTAAGTAATTACTACATTTTGAAAATTTTAATTTAACACTAGTATGTCTTAAGTCTCATGCTAACAAAGTGTAAGTCATTTTTGTTTGAACTATAAATAAAAATGTTTAAATTCCATTAAAAAATGATTAAACTTCAGTTATATAAAATTTCAGACATCCCATATGCTAAGATGTTTTGAAGTAGCTAGATGTGCAAAGGACAATTAAAATCTAATAATTGGGCTTTTCCACGTAATGGAGAGTAAGAGGGCTTTTAAAATACTTAAAATGCATATTGATCGGTTCTTAGCTTAGTGGACTCCAAAATGGGCTGGATAAAGTAAAGTTGCTTTTGTATGAATTTTCAATTTGCTTACTGGAATGAAGCTTCAAAAATTTTAATTTGTAAGAATTGTAAAAGATAATTTTTTTGGTATAACGGATATCCCAAATTAAAGAAAAGAAGTTGAGATATATATATTGTGAAACATGATGTAGGTACTTTATATTTGTAATTTTTACGGTACATAGCAGCCCAACAAGGCCTGCGACAAAATAACTCAAAATCTTTATTTAAAAAAATTAAAATTTAGGCTCGTATAATCATATGATATAACTTGTGTATAATTGATTTGCCAATGTTACTTATTATGTAACGAGTGTATATCAACGATTGCTACAACCGGTCATGGCTAGACGGATGAATTGTTTTGGGCCTGTGCCCCATCTCAAATATGATTTGATAGGGTTGGGCTAAATACTATTTTATGAGTCCGACACAAAAGTCCAATGGTTTATGACACGTGAACGATGCAGAGATGGGCTGGTCCGTAGGCCCAATAAACGAATATTAGAAAATATAAATAAATATAAAATAAGTTAGAGTTACTGAAGTTAATAAAAGAAGTTTAAACACAAAGTTTACGTATAACAGATAGAATAATTTTAAAAAAACTATTTGTGTTTTATTGTGAGGTTGAAACAAAGCTAGCTTAATACTTTTCTAGTTGTATTGTTACTCATTAGTTGTTTAGTTTTCTTACTAATATTTTTATTTAATTAGAATGGTATTAATTATTAATATGTTAACAATATAAACATGTGTTCATATAAGCAGAAGTTTTATGTCTAACAATTTATTTTTTTTAAGTTTGTAGTTTGTACATGAGAATATTTCCATAGATGATGGTAGAGATTTCAGATTTAAGTCATACAATTAATATTTATTTGAAACAAAACGCTAAAATTAGAACCACTAAACTTGTAATAAGGTCATCAAACCAATAATTGAGAAGATAGCATTTGCAACTTAAATTGAAGTGAAACCGCCAAATTAACCGACACGAAAATTGCCTACGGACATTATTAGAAATCGAAAGTTTTGTATAATTGTGCAATCGACCTTTTTTTTTCAAGCGTTAAACATTTTAAATTTAATAAAAAAATTGTTTATAAAATCTTTAATTTTTTTGAAATAAAATTCATATATGTATAAACTAGGTAAAAATTACTATAAGACACAATAATTGAATATTTAAAAGATATATAATATATCACGTAAATTGGAACGGAGAGAATATTTAATAAGAACTATTTTATTTGTGAATTAAAGACTTCATTATCAAATTTAACTAATTCAAATCATATCCAAATTTATATTATACCACCTTATTTATCCTAATTTAGTCCAATATCAATCTCTAAAATATTTGAGCAACCAAGTTAATTGGTTGAACAAGAAGTATGTTGTGGTGGAAGATGAAGATGAAGATACCTGCAGAGTTTTTACTTTGGAGTGAAATTAACTTTACCCTTTGCAGAGCCAGGAATATCAAAAAGGCAGACCGAACTTAACTCACTGAACTAAAAACTTAAGTCTTTGAAAGTTGCAAAAAACTAACCAAAGCTTTCTGTACAAACTGATCTCATAAAAACTTGTCCACTGGAGTAATCTTTACTCAATCTTTTTTTTTTTCCACTCGCTGTCCGGAGTACGTATTAGATTATTAAATTTAAATTATGGGGTAATGTTAAATACCAGAAAATATGATCAGAAATTTAAAAAGTCTATAATATTCTTTTTATTTTAAAATAAACTAATCTTTTTTTCATTTTTTAATTAAAAGGTATTAAAGTTAAAAGAGTAAAAATATTCAAAAAGATAAAATAACATATTGTAAAATATATTATTTTACCTTTCTGGCCAAAAAGATTACACGTTTAAATGAGTGATACTTATCTAATATAATTTTATAGGTTCAGATTAAATTAATTTAACAGATTTCTTAACTATGATTAAATTATTAAATTGGAAATCACTTTTTAATTATAGTATGCAATATCAATCGCCCCCACATATTTTGATACTACTCATTAATTTCAGTTTATAATTCAGAGTTTGTTAATATGTTCAAAAACTTAAATATTTAATAGCATCAAATTTCTATTACTATCACGGTACTTTTCCCCATTTTTTTTTCTTTCATATATTCTGTATCTTAGCTAAATTAAATTAAATGGAAGAGAATGAAGGTAAATACTATCACGGATAATTTCAATACTCTAGTTTACTTTTTATCTGTCAATTAAAAATTAGAACTATTATTTCACTTCCAAGTGTTACTTCCCTAATCCCTGGTATGTTCTTTAATTCAATTTTCAGACTAATTTTAAAATCAATTTTCTAAAATTTATGATCACAAAATGTTTTTCTTATTTATATTTTATACTGATACTGATTTAGGGAAGGGGTAGGGAAGTTTATTGATGAAATTTATAAGTTGAAAGTAATGAGTATCAAGTCTAATGGAAATGAGCCAAATCCATTATAAGCCCATTCGAAGGTAATTATTTTCATACCAAACTTTTAACATGAGACCTCTAGTTAATTATAAAATAGTTCCATCACTATACCATAATTTTTATGAATCTTTATTCAACCTTTCTTATTGCAACACACTTCTTTTTTGCATTTGTGTGTCAGGTTTTATAAATTGCCGGTTTAAAGTTGGACTAACTAAACATTCAATCAGCTACATCATTTAACTTTTTTATAAAATTGATAACAACAAGTAATATAATATCAAGTATAGAAAATATAAATGTATAGAAGGTGATAATATAAATGGATGAGCTAGCTAATAGAGTAGTAGTTTAAGTCCCAAAACAAAAATAAATTCCCCTCAACAATAAACCTCCAAAAAGAATCCAAGTGAATATATAATCCAAGTACATGTGGGAAAAATAAAGCCATCATCCTCCTCCTACTAATAAGCTAAAGTGATGGCATTTCATATTAATATAAAATATAGTGGCAAAAGCAAATGAGCACAAAATCACAGAGACTTCTAAATCAGCAAGTAGAGGAGACCCCATCCAAACACCAAACTTCCCATAATCATATTTGAAAATCTCATATTGCCCTCCACTCCACTCTGCACAATAAACATATCAAGATATGTAGCTAATATAAACAATTTTAATTAATCTATATAGAGTTTTGAGTTAAATTATTGTGAGACATATATAAAAAAGTTGGCACATGCATAAGAATCCAAGTAAATATAAAAAATATAAACCATAAGATCTAATCTGATAATTAATATGCTGTGTTAGTTTGAGTTTTTAGTGAGACACGAAATGTTAGCACATGCATAAGAATCCAAACAAATACAAAATAGGGGATATTTGGGGTTCAATAATGTGGCTCTATAGACTTTGTTACCCATCATTATTCTTTCTGTCTCTTCAATTATTTGTTCTACAAAAATACTATACATAAAAAAAGATGTACATCTACAAGAAGAAAATTTCAATAACTTTATTCATTAATTTCATTAAATTGTGGAAAATTATTATTCTCCATTTTGATTTATATTACAGCAACAACATAGGAGTAAAACAATTGGAATTATCAAAATTTACCTTTTTTATTGGACAACTTTATCATTATAACTATCAAAATAAAATAGATAAAAGTAACTGTTAATGTAATACAATTTTTAGGTAGAGGCAGAGTCATTATTGGCAAACAGAAAGCACGTGATAATGTCCCAGTGAATAATCATAAATTATAATGACTAATCAGTAATCACAGACTAAAGCTTGCATGCACTCGATCACACCTGATCACATCCCCACTAGGCACTAGCTAGGCTCAACACCCCACATTAGGACTTCACCATAGACACAATTAACGAGAAACTGGCTCATGTTAGGATTCCTATGCTAACTTTGACTATCATGCGCTTCATATCAATACAAAAAGGAAAAACAACGTAAATACCCACTTCTTACAAAATGTATGTTCTGAATATTCCTAATTTTGACACTCATATTCAAATTAGTCACATAAAATCGACGTAAGGTAGTAACTAGAGACTAAATCAAAATTAAAATTTACGAATTCGACTTGCAAGTTTTTCAATGTTGAATTAATCGTAATGTTAAAATTATGCTTTCACATCAACAAAATGAAACCTCACAAGTGATGTTTGAAAAGGCTAAAATGTAACCCAGACTCATAGATCTTATTAAAATGTATGCATTATGGCTTCAGATTTTTAAATTTTTTTGAAGCATATCGTAACAAAAATTTCTAGGGAACCTTTCCCCTAGTAGCAAGTGAAAATGTATCATTAAATCCATAATGGTATTGTTACGGAATCAGAAAATGAAACTGAGATTTGAGCAAATTAATTAGTACCTGATCAGGGGCTGATGGAGCAGGAGATAAACCACTCGGTGACGGAGCACCCAGAGGTGGTGCTGGAGGACTCAACAATCCCACCGGCGAAGGTGCCGGAGATGTAGCTACCTTTGTAGTCGGAGTAGGAGCCGGAGCTGAAGCAGGTGGAGTTGCGACCGGTGCAGGTGCCGCTGCCGGTGGAGGTGGAGTACTCACAGGTGGAGGAGTAGCTGGTGGTGGAGCACTCACTGGTGGAGGAGTAGCTGGTGGTGGAGCACTCACTGGTGGAGGAGTAGCTGGTGGTGGAGCACTCACTGGTGGAGGAGTAGCTGGTGGTGGAGCACTCACTGGTGGAGGAGTAGCTGGTGGTGGAGCACTCACTGGTGGAGGAGTAGCTGGTGGTGGAGCACTCACTGGTGGAGGAGTAGCTGGTGGTGGAGCACTCACTGGTGGAGGTGGAGAAGCGGCAGGTAGTGGTGAAGTTGCTGGTGGAGAAGATACAGATGGAGGAGGTGAACTTACTGCAGGAGGTGGAGAACCGGTAGGTGCAGGGGTAGTGGATGTTGGTGGTGCGGGACTAGTAGTGGGTGACGTGGCAGGAGCTTGACCCCCTACACCGGCGACGATAATGCAGAGAAACCCGATCCAAAGAGCATTTTTCCGATCCATTTTTATCACAATGTGTTTTGTACACTAAAATAATTGTTGTATATAATTTCTTAGAAGAGAGAAGAGTAGTAATTTGGCTATATGAATGAAAGAGAGGGAGGAAGAGGGAAATATATATATATAGGGGTCTGTTTGGGAGAAGAGTAGAAAAGAGGAAAAGGAAAGTAGAAAGGTGGCTGCTGAGTTGTGACTACCAAACAGATCCTGTTTGGCGTTTACTTGGGTTATTCTCATGTGATCTCCATTATTACTATCATAAATAAAAAAGTGCCAGTCTAATGATGTTCTGTTGTTGTCATGCGTTAGTGAAAACCTCTAGGGTTTTTACTGTTTTTTTTTAGTTTAATTAAAATCAATATTTTTTTAACTTTAAAATGGGGGTAGGGGGAAAGGAAAATGGGTAGAGTATTATAATGTGGGAAATAAAACTCGAGTAATCAACTAATTAAACTATTAAGATTTCTCAATTATATAATATAGTTGGCATTATAAAAGGTTTTTTACTCTATCAAATTACCTCAAGGCATAACTACAAATGATTGACCATTATAATGTAAAAAAAAATTATGATTTATAGTTGAGTTAAAACTAAGTATCAATTTCTTATAATGGTATCATAATCGTTTCAATTCATGATTTACCTAATGTTGAGCCCCTATTTTATGTATTGTATGCATGCTCCGGGTGTCCGATTCTAAAGATACTCATATTTATGCTTAGGTGATGAATTGTTTGATATCGTTCTTAAATAATTTTGAGTTATTCTCGCCAGATAAGCTATTCTTTTAATTGAAAACTATACTTCAATAATATTTTCTTACAAATCACTTCCCCACATGCACTAGGCAGGACATTAATGTTGGCTTGGCCTTTGTGCTGGAGGAGAGATTGACATGATTGATGAAATACAAAGTGCTAAAAAAAACAAAATGATGGTGGGCCTAATCACTTAATTAGGAGAAATTGTTACTCCCATAGTTTTTTTAAAAAATGACCTATTTTGACTTGAAACGGGGTTTAAGAAAAGAAAAATGATTTTTTAATCTTGTGGTTTTTAATTAAAGTTATGTCAAATGTATCAAAATGCCCTTTAATCTTGTGGTCTTAAACATTTCACGTGAAAAGTTGAAGTTAAAGTGTTGCAAAAAAGAAGAAGTCATTCTTTTCGAAATATACTAAAAAAAAAACTAGACCATTATTTTTGAAACGATTAGAGTATTAAAACAAACATCATGCGACGTAAACCTTTTTGCTTGCATTGCAATCCAGTTTCCACTCTTTCCGCTTAAGAGAACAGTAGGGGGGGAAATACACACACAAATGAGCTGATTTGACCTTCATTAAGTTCAACTTTATGGTTAATATGTGATAATTAATTTATAGTAATTGAAATATTGAAAAGACAAGTTACCTAGAAATAATTTGAGTGTATGCATAATGGAACAGCTAGCAAGGGGAAATTGGGTGGTCCCTTTGATTAGCCCCTAATCGCGTAGAGTAAAAGGAATTGTGTCTTTTACTCTTAATTCCTTACACCTGTATACTAGAAATGATTTGACATGAAATTAAAAAATGTTTCTTCCTTACCGTTGCCTTGTCATTTTCCTTATTTTCTTTCTAGCAAATCCTAAAAAAATACATAAAAATATGACCTATAATTCAAATATAGCAGAAGTTTTCAGCTAACCAAATATAACATACATTTTTTTTCTCTTCAAAACTTATATATAATTGTGCTTTGAATCTTGGTCATGATTTTATACATGAATGTGGTATAAACTCTGTATGCATCATATATGTATATACTATAGATGTTGAAGTTCCTTTAACTTCTTCGTATATTTACTTATTCACATTGCAATTTTTTTCATACTCTAATTAAACTATGTTACATAAATTAAAACGAAAAGAATACTCAAATAGCACATGCAAGAGTGCTATCTCGGTGCAAATCATTTTTTTCACTAAGAAACGGGTATTATCGTCGGCTATTATATGGGCTTGGTAACTTGACACTCTAGCAATGGATAACCAACCCATTAGCGGCCCAAATTATGTAGATAAAAGGGCAATATGGTAAAAAAAAACAGAAAGTCCAAAAGGCGCGGTTACCCTGAATTTTACGGACACAAAAAACCCTTTGCCACACTTATCTCTGCAAATTCAAAAATACCAAAAGCTACAGAAAGAAGATAATGGCGGTGTCCTTGGGGTTATTCTCGGTATTCTCAACCGGCGAGACGGTGTCGTTTGCGAAGTCAGCTTCCTTCGCCTCCTTTAGGCTCGTGTCTCCGCTTGCGGCTCATCGTACTAACTTGCGCACTGTGCGGACGGTCACTTTCGCGACGGCTTCTAAGCCGGCTGCTGAGCCGAAGAAGCGTGAACCTAGGGGGATTATGAAGCCGCGTAGAGTGTCGCCGGAAATGCAGGCTTTCCTTGGTGGCATGTCTGAGGTTCCTCGAACTCAAGCCCTCAAGTTGATTTGGGCACATATCAAAGCGAACGACCTTCAGGTATACCCCATTTACGCTCCACCGACTATCCCTATGAACTAACCAATATGTTATTGTGATTTATAGCGTTATTGGGGATATTTCCTATTTAATTGTGTTAATTGATTTTGGCTAAGGTGGCTTGTTTATATATTTGTGTGTTTTATGTGCGTTAGCTCTAGTTAGTTTGATTATGCTAACTTGTCAATAGCTGAAGAGTTGAGTGTTGTACTTTCTTAGTAATTAGATGTGTTGTAATATACTAGTATATCTTTATAAATCTTCGGTGATATGCATATATGGAGTGTTTTTATGGTTATGATGAAGCTTGTAAGGATGGTTTTTGAAGGTTATATTGGTTGGCTATATCTTATCTGCTAGAATCCTAATTTTTATTTGCACTTCTATGTTGAATTGGAGTACTTCTATTTCACTCACTTGTTATCATTTTAGCAATGTTATAGTCTCTTAACATTCAACATAAATCTATGTCCTCTTTTGTGGTTGTTGAGGATTCAAGTTATAGCTTTTTGTTAAGAATTAGTCACCAGATTCTTGCTGGCATCTAAGCTAGTTTGCTGATGCAAAAGTGTAAATCTGTAAAAAGTGCAATATACCTTGAGTTTCTATTTGTTTGGTGTCTTGCAAGAAATGCTTGTGAAATGAAAAGTCTTACTTAGTCTATGTATTGTTTTTTCGATATAAGTATGGTTTTGATGTCTGCTGCATCTATATCATTGTTATGGTTTCTGCATTTTGTTATGCATTTGATGACAGCCAAACTAAGAACTGTGCATGATGCCATCGGTCTTGCGTACTGCTCAAAAAGTAGCAAGCTAATGATCTAAGTTTTGAGTCGTTTATTGATTATCACTCCTCTTTGAAACCAACCCTGGTGAAACCTAGATGCAATATCCTTTTCGTGCGGCATAAACCTTACTTTTGACTGAAGATTTTCACTCTATCTGCAAGCTTTATGACATTTGGTTTCCTTTTTTGTTTGTCAAACCTGATTCAGGATGTATAATGTGTTGAAGATTGAGAACTTGTGTTAATTTAGTTTGGTGATATATTTTCTGATTATAGCCTTCTATTTGTTGATGTATAAGCTGACTGGTAATCTCTATCATTTACCTGAGAAGGTCAATGGAAAGCAGGCAATGCTTTCTGCTAGTGATCTCTACTGTTTGTACTGCCAACTCTTTCGAAGTGCATTAACTGTTATTTGTAGTTTGCGCTATCCTACTCATCATTTTATTAATATGGTTAACATCTATCTATCTATAGTTTGTTTGATACTTAACGATATGTTGCTTTTGTAGGATCCTCAAAACAAGAAGGTCATAATTTGTGATGAGAAGTTGAAGACAATTTTTGGAGGAAAGGAACGTGTTGGGTTCCTTGAGATTGCTGGGTTGATTAGTCCTCACTTTCTTAAATGATCTATAAAGGAAAGCTTAAAGGAGAACTCTTTTTTGTAAATTAGGCTCTAGGTTGGGTGATGGTATCTACTAGGAACAGTGCTTCTTTATTAGTTTAGCTTATCGAAACGTATCTGAAAGAACCTTAAGCTATGAAGATCACTCTTTTGTGATAGTTTTGATTTTGGTATTCAGATCTACATGTTATGGTTTTCCATGCAAGATTAGTTGTCAGTGGATTGCCAATCATAAACATATTGCAGCTTTACATGTATGCTATGTTCGGGGCATATTTAGAACAAATTTCAGTACTGAACTCTGATATGGTCAAATGTACTGAATATTAGGGTTTATTTTCCTTCCATATGTATGACAATATCCAGTATATTATTTGTATGTTTGAAGTTTGTGAAATTATCAGTCCATTCACTTTACTTGCAGTACTAATAATCTTCTAGGTCGACCTCATTGGGCAAGCGGTTGCATAGAAATGGAGTTTTACCTTGTGCGCATCTTAAGGGTAGTGGTTGTGAATTTTCTCATCAAAATAACAATGCTACAACGACCATCTTACCACTAACTTGTACTGTTAATTTTAGGTAGGAGTCTTGTATATTTCATAGCCAGTTTATCATAGTATAGGAAGGATGAAAAGAAATTGGGATTAAACAAATTTGTTTCCCCTCCACCAAATTATTTTGGGAAAATATATTGATTTAAATTACAGCAGAAATGAAAAAGATTTAGATGATTTTATGATATAAAAGTTTTGGTGGGACATGAGAAAATAGCCAAATGACCTTTCAAATTATTATTAGATTTTCAATTACTCACTTAACTATTTTAAAGCAGAGTTACTTGCTCTCAAAATGCTAAAGTGAAACTAGCCAACGATGAAATGTATAATTAGAATTGAGAATCGATAATTGAAAATCCGGTAATAAATCAAAAATCGAGAAAATTACCAAAATAAAGAAAAGTAGTTTAATTAATAAATAAATAAGAAAATATCTTTGGAACTCAAAATAACTGGCCACCATGGAAAGTGTAATGTAGTATTACCAAATACAAACAAGATAGGAGTTTTTTCGTTATTGCAGAAAGCTGTGAGACTGTGTTAATGGCGGACAAATTAGGTTTTCCTCTTCTACTACCAAACCCCCCACCTTCAAAATCCATCTTTCAAGACTTCACTGTTTCGTCCAATCAACCCTTCGCTCCATTCTTAAACGACCTCTTTCACCATCAAAATCCCAA